GCATATGTGAAGTAGCAATATCATGCGAACCGTACCAGGTAAGCCTAAGATACCAATTAAGAACATGTGCTTACACACATGCATTTCTATTCATACTTCATTCATATCAATCTTGACATTTTCTGTTTCAAGTCTCAGTGTATCTATCACTTCAAAGCACAGAAAAGAGATGGCCTGGACAATACAAACCACGAAGCATTTTCGCCATGCTCAACTGATGCTCTGTCCTCTGTTTAGGTTTCTTCATGGAACCCACTGTATTCACAGATGTTGAAGATCATATGTATATTGCCCAGGAAGAGTCCTTTGGTCCTGTGATGGTGATTTCTAAATTTAAAAATGGGTATGTTCTCCGCTGGTTACTGTTAGAAACTTTATTTTCTCATTTTCACCCTAAGTGTAGAAATGATAGCATACATGGCATGATTTTGTTAGATGTTATAAGACCAGTCTGAATCCCTAGATACTCTTCCAGCTAAATTCTGAGAAAATACCCTTTTTAGTACAGGGTATCCCGCTCCATCTTGATACAGAACTAATGCTATTAGCAATGTGTGATGGGATAGAATGTAACCATAAGTGCCAGTTCTTAAATTAGACTTCGTATTCAGTGAAACATTTTTACTGACATTGATGTGGTAACTGGAACAGCTTGAACAAATCACAAAATGTGTATTTTTTCCAGTGGAATCGCTTATTTTTCTGTGTCACAAAAGACCGCATAGCATTGTTGTGCATTGTGTAACATTGGCACGTTACTGTTGCAAGTGAAAATCCCTCTGTATATTTTGTAGACTGCCAGTTTTAACAGCTTTCATTCCAAATCATAAGAATTGTTTTACACGCAAATGAGATTAAAACTCTGTGTAGAAACTTCACATAACTATTTCCACTAGTTTGAATTTTCTGCAGTTTTGATACTGCAGTTAAGAACGAGCCACATACATACAAATTATGTATGGTGATAAGGGGCTGTATTAGAGCTTTTGAAAGTTTTAAATTATTATGGATCTTTGAAGCTATACAGAGATGAGATGCAAATAGAAAATAGCACTCTGGACATGGCCTGAAAAGTCGTGTCTTGATAGAAGTCTGAATTTCAGCATTTATTCTTCATTAACTTCTAAAACAGGCCAAAATTTTAGCAAACGGATTCATCGTCTTCTGCCAAACTCTGCTTTACAAGTATTTTGGTATTCTTTAATCCCCAAGTTGTGCTGTAGCTCAGCAAAGTTGGTACATGTACTGCAACTTCTCATTTGACATTTCTTAGTGTAGAACTTCACCACTGAAATGTAACGTTACAAGCTTCACAAGTTTGAAGTGAGGGTATGAACTTCCATAGATCTGTCAGATTGGCACACAGATGAGTCTTCAATAAATTGTCTTTAAAAAAGCTAACTGGAGAAGAAAGAGCATGGGAAAAGGTGCTTCAATGACGCTGAATGTGGAAGGTTGCTAACGCTTGGTTATTCTACCTAGCTGCAATTAAATAATTCCTTTCCCCTGTAGCGAAGTTGACGGAGTGCTGCGACGGGCAAATAACACAGAATATGGCTTAGCTTCGGGAGTTTTCACGAAAGACATAAGCAAAGCTCTCTACGTCAGTGAAAAGCTAGAAGCTGGAACAGTTTTTATTAACACATATAACAAAACTGATGTGGCATCACCATTTGGTGGATTTAAACAGTCTGGCTTCGGGAAAGATTTAGGTAAGTCGTTCTCTCCCTCTCTTGTTTCTCATCTGACAGCCCAAATCAATGTAAAAACCACCTTACCTGTGTAGGTGTATCCAGTAGAACATGAGCTACGGATGCATTTCCCGCATCTCCTACATTCCTCCAGTTACAGAAATCTAGTTCCTCTGCCATCCCGACAATATTCCCGCCTCAATACCTCCAGTTCAGCCCTTCCTGTACAGTTGCTAAATACCGCTACAGCACGCAGAATCTTCCTCTCCAACTCCTCTCAGAGCAGTCACAGTACAGCTTGTCCAGAGCTGCATACAGGCTACGGAACGCTCTCTGGCAGCAAAGGAATTGGCCAAAATCTTATTTCCTTTCCCACAGAAAGAACACTAATTCAGGTTTCTCCTCCAAACTTGTAAGAGCATGGGAAACTTTTCTTTGCCTTAAAATGTCATCAAAATTTGCCAACAGCCACAGAGAAAGATGCATTAAAAAACATCTTCTCTTCTCAAAACCAGTTTTTAAAAAAGCAAGGTCTAGTCTGCCAAAGAAACTTGACAAGTCTGGACAGATCAAGCCTCATGGCAAAGAAAAATGAAAGAAAAAAAAATCTTCAGTGACTTGTACGAGAGATTTTTGCTTTTGGAATCTCTAGCAAGTACTAGACATTTCCTGAAACCAAAATGAGTAGCACTATCAGGAAAAAAAGGATTACTAATTTTTAAACCTTTAAGTTCCTTAACATAGGCAACCCCAAGTTTGTAAATTGAAGCATGAGCTGCCAGTGGCCACCCAGAGACTGCCGCTGCTTCAGTCCCACCCAGGCGGCTGCTTGGTAAACGGCAGCTCCTTTTTCTTTCCACATCTGTTGGGGTTGGCCTCTTCTTGTCAAACCAGTTCTGTAAATCTCACTGGGCGGATAAGTCCTCATTATTCCTTATGGACCCAAATACTGGCTGAAGCATTTTAGATTTTAATACAGTTACAGTCTCTGATAACATTCTCTCATTTAGCTGCTATTCTAACTGGTCAATATTGTGCTTGTACAGGTGAAGAAGCTCTTCATGAATATCTCAGAACCAAGGCTATCACTGTGGAATATTAAAGTAACTGCCTCACTTGGAAAGTAAACCTTCGGCAGAGTTTGAATCTTAATGACTCCATGAAGCACTTCATATCAGGTCCAGGATATGCTGTCTGCAGTGCTACAACTAGAAAAAAAAAAAACCAAACCAAAACACCCATTCCATGGATGAGTTTCTATAAATCAGGTCCAAACTTTAGTCTCACTGACAGATAAAAGCATCTGGAAATTAACCTGAAGTTATATAAATTATGCAGCAGCAGCAGTTGTTAGCACAACCTTCCCCCCCATCAAGAACTTGGTCTGGTTTATATTTTTAAGTACAACTGGAGAATGAGTTCTTATATGCCTATTTGTGTGAACATGATCATTTTAAATCCTTCCTCATTAGGCTTCTCTTAAAGTTGAACTAAAATATACTGATTACACCATTTTTGCTATAAACCAGTTCAAGTTTTACAGTAGCAATTAAACATTCTGCTCTGGTGACTCTTCAGCAGTACAGAAAACCTTTGTGCCATAAGAAGTAAATCAATGCAAGAAAGTGCACTTACTATGATCTTTGTATAGTCTATACAGAGTTCAACATTGGTGTTAAACTATGCATATTAAGCTAAAGTCACTGAAAATATTTTCTATCTTTTTGTCGATACGGAATGTGTGATCTGCCTGCAATTTGAAAGGTGGTTACATTAACAGATTAAAATCACTTTTTGTGTCTGTGCGCATGGACTGTTATCACTGGTTTATACAGCATGAACATTACTTTGCATTTCATACTTTTTTTTTTAATCTACGAGAAAATCTCTTGCAAAATGACTGAGTTAAGATCTTGGCTTTCAAACTTTCTTCAGTTTGAAAAGAAGTTTTCCATAGATTGAGACCTTATCCAACAAACTAAGCCTACTTAAGAACACTTGCTCTTCTTAGACTACGACTCCACCAAAACTTAATCTGATCTGTGGGCTGCCATTAAAAATCACAGTCTCGTTCTTTGATTCCCATCCTTCACATTCCCCCAAATATTTTGTGGTTTAATCAGTTAATCCCAGTAAATTCCAGTAAATCATGCTCCCTTCTATTTTTAAGAAGCTGCCTTGTGAAAGAAAGACCAGAATCCTTGTTATTTGTTATCACAAATACTACAGAAACAGATACTAAAACTATAAATATGGGAGTCAAAATAAATTCTGTAAATAACTACGGGTTTTGAGTAATAACATTAAGTTCAATATTTGAGCAAATACAATATAGAAAATTTTACTTTAATGGTGTAGAAAACACAAAATTCCTTTAAGAAACAAACAATGATATCCAGGAGCATGACAGATAATTCTGAAGCGCAAACTGCTCAGTGAAATAAATACAACCGCCCAAATCACTGTACTTGATCAGTTTGAGGAAAGTATGAATCAGACATACTTTCACCAATTTTGGTTTCACAGTAGTTTCAAGCTAACCCAAGTACAGCCCAGCTGAAAATTCACCTTCTTATTCTTCTGGCAGTGATGGCTGTTAACAAAATGGAGAGGACAAAAACATGGCAGAGAAAGTGGGAGATAAAAAGTGTAGCTTAAAGCAACTGTAACACCACAAAGGCAGACTTGACTGTGCAAGCACCAAGGGTATCTGCACTACAGCATCAAACATTCCAGATACGAGCTAGTAACCTACCCGTAACAGCACAGGGCTTGGTGTAGGCACAGCAGGTACGTAACCCTTTGCTCAAGTCTATCCTGAGCCATGGCTGTCCCCACCTGTGCCAGCTCATCTTGACGTGACCTCAGCCACTGCTTCAGCGTTCAACAGTTCCTGTCACGAATGCAACGCAGACATACCTCTCATGTACTTTAAGACAATGTTTAATATTGCAGACATTGTACATGACACTTCATGGGACATGGAATATAAAAAACAAAGCTTTTTTCCTAGTTAACTCTTTCCTGCTCTTGAAGGAACTTCTTCTAGCACACCACAAAAATCTTAGTCTAACCTACCATGAAGTTCATTTCCATGTTGTTTGATGAATAAAACCATACTTAATTCTTCAGAAATCCAGCCTGCCTCAGTCATGAGTGGATCCTGACTTCTCCATCATGTAAACTATAGCATTTCACATGATCCTGGGGGATGCTACGCTGGGAAACAAGGTAGTTTTAAGGGCCAGGTCTTTGAAGTAAGAAAACACATTTTGGGTTTTTTGTGTTGGGTTTTTGCCTTTTTTTTAGTAAAATAAAATGCATTTACTCATTGACTTTGCTGTCCAAAATTTCTATTTTGCCCTTTTCTCCCTTTTGTTTAGGAAACTTGATGTTGTCTATTGTCACTTCATCAGTTATACAGTCATCTTCAGATTCCGAGTCATCTTCAGATTCCGAGTCATCTTCTGAAGTTAACATCTCTTTATCTGTATCAGAATCGCTCAGTTCAACTACAGCCACATTCTGGAAGAGAGCACCTTAGTTAACACTTTATACATTTCTGTACCACTTCCATCATTTGAGAAAAACATAAAGCAAACACATGAAACAGCCTACTACCACAAGAAAACAACAACCACGATTAGAAAGGCTTTTGGGTTCTCCTAGGATTATGATAAATATCATGAACAGATTCCTAAATATTTAAATTGTAATTTATATTGCCCTACAGCAAATGTAGGGCCATTTTTATATCATTATCAAAGAGAGAAATAAGGTGATAGCTGAAGTCAAGATAGTCTAAATCAGATGTTTAAACTGACAGGGAGGAAGCATCAAAACTAATTTTCAGTAAAGAATTCAAATGAAACCATTTAGTGTATAAAGGGTCATGACATACATAAAAATGTGTGTATATACTTATTAATATAGTTCATATCTTATAACCCAGTAGCGTTCATGGCACTACAACTACTGCAAAACAGGATGTAGTTTAAACCACCAGGATATTGTCTGAAGTAAAAGTGATCATATATTTCCATATGTAGAGCCATGATTTTTGAGGTCTGTTTTTCTTTCTGAAAAATACGTGTCCTAAACTGATAATCCTCACCTCAAAAACTTCCTGTATACAGCAAAGAAAAATATAGGAATTTGAGATGCAAATAAATTTCTTCAATGATTTGCAAATAGCATTAAGCTATTAATCACTAGGTCTCCTGGCTTCTTTACTACAAAGGCAAGACACCTGTCAGACACTGTCACATGAAAAATCTTTTAAAATTCCTGTCAGAGTTACCCATTCCACTTCAGCACATTAAAATAATTTTCATGATTCACTTTGTTTTCTCACTATTTATTTGGAATTCTTCAGCATATACCAGCACTGGACAACCTACTGCATGTAGGCTGGATACAATCGACACGAACGCTGAATCCTGACAGCTCCCACACCAAACCCCAGGCTGCCTTACTTCTGCCTTGTATCTTGTGGGTCTGCAGGCCAGAAGGCACTTGTCTGGGACACGCACATATCACATCACTTTCATATTCAAATTTTCTTGCATAAGCATATGGCTGCAACACTTCAGTTAAGAACAGAAAGAGAATATTGATATGAATGTAAATAAACAGACAAACACCAGCTATAAAGAATGGATTGCGAGCAACCCTGAGGAGAAGGACTTGGGGGTGCTGGTTGATGAGAAGCTCAACATGACCCAGCAATGTGCACTCGCAGTCCAGAAGGCCAGCCGTATCCTGGGCTGCATCAAGAGAAGTGTGGCCAGCAGGTCGAGGGAGGGGATTCTGCCCCTCTGCTCCGCTTTGCTGAAACCCCACCTGGAGTCCTGCGCCCAGCTCTGGAGCCCTCAGCACAGGACAGACACGGACCTGTTGGAGCAGGTCCAGAGGGGAACACAAAAATGACCAGAGGGCTGGAGCTACTCTGCTATGAGATAGTTGGGGCTGTCCAGCCTGGAGAAGAGAAGGCTGCAGGGAGACCTTACAGCAGCCTGCCAGTACCTGAAGGGGCCTGCAAGAAAACTGTAGAGGGACTTTTTACAAGGACATGTAGTGATAGGACAAGGGGTAATGGGTTTAAACTGAAAGAGGGTAGGTTTAGATTAGTTATAAGGAAGAAATTCTTTACTCTGAACATGGTGAGGAACTGGAACAGGTGCCCAGAGAAGCTGTGGATGCCCCCTCCCTGGAAGTGCTCAAGCCCAGGTTGGATGGGGCTTTGAGCAACCTGCTCTAGTGGAAGGTGTCCCTGCCCATGGCAAGGGGGCTGGAACCACATGATCTGTAAGGTCCCTTCCAACCCAAACCATTCTATGATTCTATGGTAAAGGATCACAACACCACCAACAACTTTTCTAAACCCAAGACCTATAGCCAGGCCTAAAAATCCCTACAAAACACAGCTGAAAACCAGTTATTACTCTTCTACTAAAGCCTTCTGTTATGCCTTACTATGGCTTAAACTGTCCAGTTTCTAAACCCAAACTACCAACGAGACATTTAAAATATAATTTGTGACTTACTTTTGATTCAGAGTTGATGATTCAAAAGTATGTCTTATTCTGGCTTTAAACTACTTCATCCCCAGTCACTAAATTCTGCAAGTATGAAAACCAAGTAGTAAATTTTAACCAAATAAGTATTTTTATTACATCTATGTTGTGAATTTGCAGATCGTGGACTAAAGTGGTAAAGACTGAGCCTTATCTATGAAATTAGCTCATTCTGAGATCAGAGAATTATTTTAATCACATCTAAATTTACTTTATAAAATAAATATATTAAACATTTACCATTTCTATAACTTTTTCTGTTGCACTGTCTAGATTTTCAATATCAAACTGATGAGCTGGTGCTGCTGCCATTTTTCTTCTTAGCTCATCATTTGCATGGGCCATCTGTGGCAAAAAGCTCTGTACTCGGTCCAAAACTGAAAAAGAAATAATTCATCATGTATGTATACAAACAGATGCACAGTAGCTTATACATTTATACCTGAGTAAACTGAGCATTTAAACAGATTCTATTTCAACTGTAACTTCCAGCTGTCTACCACATTTAAGATGTTTTAACAGGAGGATTTCTTATTCAATTCACCAAGACACAAACAGCAAAAAGATGCCGCATCTATTGGTCCGTATGTGGTGCAGGAAGAAATCACTTCAACAATTCCATTCGGATTCCTAAAACAAAATGTGCCTAGTTTACAGAAAACTTGCTTGTAAATTCCATGGTTTTCAGTACATATCGAGGGCCATCTGGAGAAACTTCCACATCAGCATTATCCCCAGTGGAAACAGAATAATGTCCTCCTTTCTTCCCTATTAATGTATAGACTGAAGGTCTCAAAGAAGGTGGAAAAATTAGCAGTAGCACATATGCCACAGATGTCACGCTACACTAAAGAAAGGTCAATGTAATTATCAAGAGGGGCTCTGACATTATGATGGTGGGAGAGATGCGGATGCTCCAGGTCTAAGTACAAAGCACTTTGCTTCTACAGAAATATCCTCTAAGCTCAGCGGCACTTCCCAACAATTTTAAGATAATCAGTGTCATTAGGAGAATCACACCCATTTCCCTTCCACGGAGGAAGGGAGTATCTTCACCTGCCTGCAGTTCTTCAAATGATCTTTGCTCCACACATGCAGATGAGCCAATCACTAGCATTCATTCTCTGTCAAGTCAGAGGTACTATTCCGAGTGAGCATCACAGAAGTCTAATAGGTATAATCTGCCTTTGAAACACTCATCGTCATAGACTTTTATCCAAGCAAGAACTCAATATAAAAAATTGTTTTTTCTATTACATCTTAAATCTCAGCTTAATCACAAAATAAAAATATGTTAATTTGACAGGAGTCCATTTTACTTGAAATGCTTTTATACACCAAATATTTCATACTCAGAAATGACTTCTGGACAGAGACAAGAAGCCCAGATCAGCAAAAAAGCAACAGGTCTATACTGGAAAAGAACGATCTGAGACTAAAGAACTCTGGTATACCTTCATGAAGGGAAAAAGTCCTGAAGATACACTACTTTCAAAGAATATGAATTTTTACACTATGTCCTCTTATGCACAGATTTATGCTGAAGAGAACATTAGCAATTCATGTGTTGGTTTGACTAAGAAAGAAGGAACATAGCTCGATTAAAGAAAAAAAAAGTTTTCTTAATGCATTCAAACTAATTTGTTGTGAATGAATGGCTTTATGATCTGGCTTAATAATTTTGCCAGCACATTCACTAAAAATAAAGTTCTGAAAGTATCTATGTATCTTGCATCAATTTGAAAGTAGCTGGCTAAATGAAGACCAAAGGTACAACCTGGTGAATTCACCCTATGCAGACAGCGGGAGTATTTCTGCAAGGAGAACCAAGTCCCAAGAACTTCACAGTTTTAACACCTGGCATCGCAAAAACTAGCTTTGCAGACGCAGCAGTTACATGATCGACCTGTGGGACGTGCAACTGCAATGGAGAACTGCAACGGAGGACCGAGCACCAGAAGAAACAGAACACAGGAGTTGCTGCCTTTACGAATGCAAGGAAAGCACTGAAACAAAAGTTACGTCAAAGATGTTACCTCCTACTTGACACTGTTCCAATAACAAAGCCATACTTACCATTACTCCTTGGCATCCTAACTGTCTGTAAAGTCGTGGCCTTCCTGCCACTACATTTTGAACTAATCAACAAAGTCTCTTCCAGCCCTGGAAACAAACAAAGATTTGAATGTTTACCTGCATCAACCGTAAATGTCACATTTTAACTGTGAGGGTCTCTTCTTGATGCTACTTTTCCACCTTTCTACAACAAGACTCAACAGATGAGGATTCAACTGTCTCTGCCTCCCGGAATTCCTCCACTCTGCTCTCCTGCAAATACTGTTTGTAGTGAGCCATGTCAGTATTTCTGTACATAACAAATGGGGAATGTCTACAACTCGCTACCACAAGCAGCCGTGAAAGCAGATGGATCAGCAGGTTTAACCCGGAATTAGAGAAATTCTGGGCATCAGAATCATAATCTGATACTAAAAGGACTGAGCGGGAACGCACCCCCTGCACCCCCACCCCTTTGACTACAGACACCGGGCAACTACAAGAATGGGGAGCACACAGCGCTTAAACGAACATGTCCCCTGTAATTACCATCTGCTATCGCAGTTGATGGGAGACAGAATACTGGGTTCTATGGACTACTGGTCTGACCCTGCAGGTCACTTCTTACAGGCTCTCACTGCTTTTAAAGTCTTTCGTCAATGATTTATTTAGCAACTGGTATCAACGTACAAATGAACTATCTGCAACGCCCCACAGCAAAACACAGCGAGGTTACAGCAGCTAACGTGAGCTCATGACACCGATTTAAATCCGTTCCCTCACGTGCGCGACCGTGTGGCGGCCATCAACGAAAGCAGGCCACACTCACCGGTGCTAATGATAATCTAAACGATGTTGGGAAACTGCATTAACGAGACACGTTAGCTCTTACAATCGCCAACAGAGCCATCAGCCCTTTACCGTTAAGCGAAGGGAAGCTTTACTTCTTTTTAACATCTTTTTATCCTCTCAGGAATGTTGTTACGACTATCGATAACAGTTTAACGTCAGTTTGGGGGCTCCCCCCGCCCCGTATTTACTTCGCACTGTACTAACAGCGCCCGGGGAAAC